CTGCAGGTCAGGGAGGTGCTGTGTTCCTCATGCAGTGAGCACTGCCCCTGCAGGTGAGGGAGGTGCTGGGTTCCTCATGCAGTGAGCGCTGTCTCTGCCAGTGATGGAGGCACTGTGTTCCTCATGCAGCGATCACTGTCTCTGCAGGTGAGGGAGGCGCTGTGTTCCTCATGCAGTGAGTGTCTGCCTCTGCCAGAGCAGAGCAGAGTTCTAAGTGTTTTACGTAAAGTACAAATATCTCATTATTTGCATTAATCCTGAAAGCGTATTTGCATTGTCCCAATTCTATAATTTAAAGAAGTAGGTCTCAGTGAGGAAACAGATGGAACATTTTCAAGGACAGGAGTGCTGTGAGCCAGCGCCTTCTAACATTTGACATCTCGGTGACCAGAGGGCTCCTTTAACTCAGGGCATTCTCTCCCTTCAGGAAGGGCTCACAGCCAGAGCCCTGTGCACCTGCTCTTTCCCGCAGAAGCCCATCAGCCACTTCTCCTCAAATCCACTCTTCCCTACGATGTCCCCGATATGCCTCCCAGGCACAAAACCCTTCCTTCTCCTGCAGTGATTTCAGCACCTGACTCAGTCTCTCTCCCTGCTTCATTCTTGTGCATCATACACAGGATCCTTTCAAGCTTTTGAGATCGAATCTACTCAATATTGAATGACTGAAGATAGCCACAGCTGAAATGGAGATCTACCCTGGCCTCTCAGCTGTCCCACAGGTCAAGACCTAATAGCTGAAGAACTACATCGAAGGCAGCAAAAGAAACAAAGCCACATTTTCTGGCTATGGTGTTGCCAACAGCATAAAGAGATCCTGAAAACACCTGTTTTCTGAAGAGTCATTCATGAAAAGAGAGGAAAAAGGTTTTGAGAGGTCACAGTGATGATCAGCTGTATTTTCCGGCAAGTGTCTTTGTCTGTGGAAGTAGCCAGCGTGATCTCTGTCCATCCGGCACAGCCCAGGCTATGTCGCAGGCTCCAGTCCCCTGAACAGCCTCTCTGAGAATGGGGTTCCCTCTCGACACTCCTATCTCTGGTCTCCTTCACTGATAGCATTCACAGGGAATGTCTTTGCCTCTCTCTGACTCTCATGTTTTGGCATCTCAAATAATTCTGTTATCCTCAAAACCAGGAGCTACTCTCTGTGTTACTGAAGAATTAACTTTTCCCAGAGAGGCCTGGCCTTTGCTCTTGGCTACGAAAACTAGGCCCCTGGAGCGTCCTGCCTGACCCTGGGGCCAGCTCCCTCCAGGGCCCTTTCTCCACCTGTTTTCAGGACAAGCCCGGCAGCCCAGATGCCTGACAGTGAGGAGCGTGATGGGGCTGAGTCCTCATCCCACCCGGCCCAGGCTCCCAGGCCATACTGGACATCACCCACCAGGGTGAGGCACGCGGGACGCCCCGAGGTACTGCTGCTACTTACAGGCATCCAAGGGTGTGGTGTGAACAGGGATGGCTGAAAAGGAAACCACATAGATTAGAAAGATGGGCATTTAGGAACCTGGTGTTTCACTCTTAAATCCTGTCTTGGAGACATTTGCAAGTGAAAAACGATGGCCCCAAAACTTCCTGGAACTATTATTAGTTTTGAAAATTAGATTCATATCTTTCTTTAAAATCCCTAGGCATGCATTAAGGCAGAAATTAATAGTGGTTAGATTTAGGAGTCCTGGAGTCACAAGACCTGAGCTCCAAACCTGTGGGACCTGGGACATGTCTCCTCCGCTTCTATGTCCCCATGAGTATAATGGGAAACAAACATTCTCCCCTGCAGGTGTCCGTGAGAGCCCTGCCCAGGAAACTGGATTAGTCTCAACATCTCCTTCTCACTGCTGCCATCTGCTGTGCATTAGGTAGGGTTGCAGGTGCAGAAGAGAAAGTTGGGGAGAGAAGGCAGGGAGGGGAAATCCCTCTTGACAGAGAGCCCAGGCTGCAAAGACAGACAGGCCCCTGCAGGCTCCTTCAGCCTTGCCACCCCCACCCAGGCTGTATTTAATGCTTCCCGAATGTCACACTTTCTCTAGTTTCAAAGCTTTTGCAAATAGCATTCCCCTCACCTAGAACATACTGTCCTTTCCCTTTCTATAACTAAGGTCATATGGAGACCTTCGGGTGTCTTTTAAATGTCACGTGTTCATGGATCCCTCTCCCCTCTCCACCATGCAAATATAAACTGGGTCCCCAGGTTATTCTTGTTGATGCATCTTGTTCTTTTCCTGGATCACATTTACTATAATTTGCAATGTCGGCATATCTTTGCTACTGTAGGTTTAGTTTATCTTCTTCACTAGGCTACAAGCTCCAACAAACTGAGCCAAGCAGATGCCTGGGTCCCAGCAGGAGCCCGAAAGAAGCAGTCAATGGACAAAAATAATCATAGATAATGGTCCTAAATCACAATACATTCAAAGAAGAAGGAAAAAAGGAGCTTCCTGTACCTTGCCCTCCACATCTCCAATCCCCATCCCTTTTCCAGAAAAGGCACTTTTTCAGTTTACCATATTTGTAACTGTTTCCTATATATTTCCACACAATTATGAATGCTTAGAAATATGTAACTTTGTGCAAGTTATACAAATAGTAATGGCAACTATACTTGGTTACTTACAGCCGTTTCCAGGCCCTCACTCATGTAGTCTCACAACAACTCTAAGAGACAGACTATCGGCTTCTGTCCTGCTTCATGGATAAGACAATTGGAGGACAGAGAAGTAAACCACAGAATGAAGTTCAAGATGCTGGTGAATGTCAGGAAAGGAACTGGCGTCCACACAGGTGGCCTGAGGAGACTGTGCTCTTTGTCTTTCAATATGCAGTGACTGACTAATTGATTTTTTCCACTTAATTTGCCTTGTTCCACTTAATTTGAGTATTGCTATCTTTTTACATATTGTATGCATATCAATTTGTATAATTCCATGATATAGATATTTTGTGATTTACTTAATTCTATGCTTACGATCATGCGGTGTGTTTCTTTTTTTTTTTTTTTTAAGAGTTTCACTCTTGTTGCCCAGGCTAGAGTGCAATGGCATGACCTTGGCTCACTGCAATCTCCACCTCCCAGGTTCAAGTGATTCTCCTGCCTCAGCTCCTGAGTAGCTGGGACTACAGGCTCCCGCCACCACACCCAGCTCATTTTTTTGTATTTTTAGTAGAAATGGGGTTTCACCATGTTAGCCAGGCTAGTCTTGAACTCCTGACCTTAGGTGATCCACCCATCTTGGCATTCCAAAGTACTGTGGTTACAGGCATGAGCCACTGCGTCTGGCCTGTTTCTAATTTTTTACTGTCATAAGTGACACTAATGTACATCCTTATATATGCTTTTAAAAATGCACACATACAAATATTTCTTCAGGATACATGCCTAGACATGGAATATCTAAGTTAAGAGCAGGCACTCTGCAATATATTGGCACTGCCAAGTAACTTCTCAAATAGACGTGTCCAATCTGTTCTCCCACCAAAAATGTATGAGAGTATTGGGTGCCCTGCACCCCTGCCAATGCTATAGGTTCTCAATCTTAAACAGCAATTTGATACGACTAATTCTGACACTAAAGTCATGATTTGAGATTCTTCCAACACCCTTATGGAATGTCTGAGTCTCATTTTGATGAGTGTTGAGGTGGGGAGATAGAGCTTTGGAATAATGATTTCACTTTGATGAAAAGCACAGAATAAGATGCTTTGCCACACTGCAAAGGGGATTTCTGAGTGCACGGACTCTCTCCTCTCCTGGCATTCTCTGCTTGGGCTAGTAACTGGCCAACTCCTGATACATGTGCAGCGTCAAGGCCAGCCCAAGAAGCCATGTGCAACCTTCCCTGAAATCAGCTAAAAAAAAAAAAAAAAAAAAAAAAAAAAAAAAAAAAACAAAATGGAAAAAAAAAAAAAAAAAGAAAAATGTACCCCCATTATAGAGTTCATTGGAATAAAATAAATAATAATAGCAGGTTTAAAAAATTTTAATATTTATAATGCACCAGAAACTCTGCTAAAGAATGTATTATTTCAGTTAACGTTCACTCCATATGTACAAGATAGCTGGGTATAATATTTTTTTAATACATGAGAAGACTGAGTTTGTTAGACCTTAACTACAACTACAATTCTGGTGAAATGACAGAGCTGGGAGCCAGGTCTTTGTGATCTCAAAGCCCATGCTCTTACTGATACTCAACACCAACTCACAATGCCCACCCTAACACATATACGGGGTAGATGAATGAAGCCCAGTTCGTGGTTCAGGGTGGTGTAGTCTTACCCTGGGCAAACTGCTTCTTGTCCCTGGACCTCAGTTTCCCCATATGTAACAGGCAGATATGTATTCTCAGTATTTAGCACACATTCTGATAAATAATTGTGCTTTTGCTGAATAAATCAATAAGCAAGGATGGTTCTTAGAAAAGTATATATATTTTTGGTTTGTAGGACCTAGGAATAGGCCTGGCTATTGGCAAACTTCAATAGGGGAAATACTTAAAACTAAGTAGCAGTTGCTGGTGTGGGGGAGTGTAAATCACAACATCATAGGAATTCAGAGGAGAAAATCAGAAGCAGAGTAACTTACAGTTCCAGGTAACCCGGGAGGGCCTGCAGGACCAGCTTCGCCCTAGTTGGAGAAATGGAAAATCCATGACCATGAATCCTCCTCTCAACTCTGTTTATGCTGCAACAGATCAGCTAACACCATTTTCCCCAGACAACAGACCTGGACCTGCACCTACCTTGATAGATATATAGACACATGCATACATACATACTTACATATGTACATTCCAAATTATAAACTATTGCAGACATATGGAAATGTTGTTTTGAGAAGTATCCATATTGATGTGTAGTTGTAGATCATTAATATCACTATATACTATTCTGTTGTGTAAATGATAATAAAGTTATTTCTTATCCATCTGCCTGTTGATGACATTGAGGTGGTTTTCCTTTGATTACAATCATAGCTAGAGTTGATTTGTTACAGCAAATATTCCCACACATGTGCTCTGAGCACAATGACACATTTGAAGGCCAGCCTCTCTTAGAGATGCCAGTGAGCCCCGCCCCACCCTCCAGAAGGAGCGGGCTCTTCTCAGGAACCTGGGGGAACCGTGCTACACTACTGTAAGCAACACAGGCTTGGAGTTGAATTGCCTGAGCTTGAAACCTAACTATACCATTTTATAAATTATTTTACCTATTTTGGCATGTTTTCTCTTTGCAGAACGAGGGGATGATAATACACACAGCACACAGCATTGCATAGGGATTGAGTGGGACTGTAAGGAGTACGGTGTTATTACATTTGGCCTGAGGAAAGGACATCACTGAGCTGCTCCACGCAAGAGTGGCCACAGCGAGTGAATAGTTTCCAAAGCCTGTCATTTCACATGCGCCACATGGTGCCAGGTGTCTATGCCTAGATCTGTTTCTCGAACCAGCCCAGGATTAGCTCTGTTGAAGGCCTTTCAAAAATGGTTATGAAATAAATAAATGCGTGGATAAAGTTGGCTTAAAGAGGGACAAGTTAGCTGGGTGCAGTGGCTCATTCCTATAATCCCAGCACTTTGGGAGGCCAAGGCAGGTGGATCACCTGAGGTTGGGAGTTCGAGATCAGCCTGATCAACATGGAGAAGTACCATCTCTACTAAAAAAAGATACAAAAAATTAGCAGGGCATGGTGGTGCATGCCTGTAATCCCAGCTACCCAGGAGGCTGAGGCAGGAGAATCACTTGAACTGAGGAGGCAGAGGTTACGGCGAGCAGAGATCACATCATTGCACTCCAGCCTGGGCAACAAGGGCAAAACTCCGTCCCCCCCAAAAAAGTGGGACAAGTTCACCCTTAGTCAACAACAATCAACAATAATATAAAGTGTTGTATCATTTTTTACCATTATTTATATTGTTATTTAGCATTTAATTCAGCTACTGGTTTAAGTAGTTTACATAGGTGAACTCATTACCTCTTTGTAAAAATGCCCATAATGTATGTCTATATCTCCATTTCACAGATGAAGAAATTGAGGCATAAAAACGTCAATGAACCTGCCCTAAGTCACACATTCTGCAAATGGCTGAGCCTGGTTTCAAGCTCAGAATGCATGCCCTTTACAACAGTGTGGCACTGCTCTGCCTAAAGTACCCGTAGCTTCAGAAAGGAAAGTACTTTCTTGGTGTTACTGTGTATTATTTGATTTTACCCAATTCTCTTTCCTGACATTGTTGAACTCAAGCTCCAGAACCAATCTCATTTAAACCAATTTGCTCTCCATTAAAATGTCCAAATGATCAAAGGTAAGTGTTTTCCCAGTCACATGCATGAATGGGTATCAACAAGAAGAGGGCTAGAGGAGAAATGTGTCTCTCAGCCCAAGGCCATGAAGACTGCCTTTTGGGAACAGCCTCCTCACCCTGAGGGCTATGGGTAAGAGAAGGAACAGCAAGCTGAGGCAGGTAGGCCCCCAGGGGCTCTCTGCCTTTGGGAAAGAGGTTTGACTAAGAAGGATCAATGGGTATTAGAGTTCATGTACCAGGCCTGGGTTCTAATCCCAGCTCCTCCACGAGGGGTTTGACTGTCAGCGGCCCTGGCTGGGACAGGAGCATCACATACACCCTTCCCCGATGGGTTCTAAGTGCCCCTAACAGGGAAGGGCAGGGGACGTGAAGGCAGGAGCAGAGGCAGAGACAGGCAAGACACAGTCAGAAGAGGGCAGTGTTGCTTTAATGTCTTCTTTTGGATTCTTCTGACCAAAATTGTCAATTATAACATATTTCTCTGGAGGAAAAGAAAGGCAAATCAGATTCCTTGGGAGCTTGGATGTGATTGTCATGGCCCTGGCAATTCTGTCCAAGTAATCAAAGGGGCTTTATGGTCTCGCTAAGCCTTTGCATTCTGGAAATGAGTTTCTCAAATAGATATTGCATTTCTGAAAAGTCCGCGGCAGCAGCGGGCCTGAATGGCTTCCCGAGCAGAGCCTTTTCTACTCCAAGCTCTCTATTTATAGACCACAAATCTGCCTGGAGCAAAGTTCTCAGCCTCCAGCCCCAGAGAAGGGGGATGGGAGGCACTGCCTGGAGCCCAGAAAGCACCAGCACAGAAAAAAAGCTGGAAATTGAAGGGGAGAAAGTGAACTTGGGAGAATGGGGCACCCTGAAAAGCATCATGAAGGAGGAAGAAGGACGCAAGGCCCATCTGGGTGTGTGGGTGCCATTCCTCCTGAGGCAGCCCGGGCAGGCCTAGTGTGTGCCATTGTGTGCTAAGAGCCGGGACTCTCTAGATGCACTGGCCAGTTTAGATCTTGACTCTAAACACCCTATTTCTACAGCCCTGGGCAAGCAACTTAGCTTTTCTGTGCCTCAGTTTCATCATCTATCAAGTAGGGATGTTGTTGACAGCTTCGACCCCTCACACAGTTGGCTTGAGATTCCCTAAGTCCCTACACAGACGGTGCTCAGGACAGCCCTGCACTCAGTGAGCCCCCCACAAGTCATCCACCAGCAGGAGATCCTTACGCTGTTTAGCAATCCTGAAGGTCACCGTCAGGCTAGCAAGCCGGGGCGTGGGAAGGTCAGAGAAGAGGCCACACAGCAGGTAGAACCAGGGCCATACCCCAGGCCAGCACTATGGCTCCAGGAATGGTGCTCTTTCTCCTAAGCCGCAGGCAAGCACACATAAACTCCTAAGAGGGGTTTGGGGTGGGTGTTTATAAAGTTGCTGTGGAATTAGAGGTGCATTTGGTCAGAGGCTGAGCACAAAACAGCAAGAAAAGCAAGTGCCGGGTGCAGTGCCTTGCTCACAGTGTGAATCCCAACTCTTTCCATGCCTGTACCCCTTTTAGGGCCTGAGATCCCTCAGTGCTCAGCCATGTCTTATTCACTGTCATCTTCTTCGTGATTGTGTGGCTGGGGGCAGGTGTTCTACCAGCAGAGGGTAAGGGTTCTGTCAGCTGAGGGTACGTATTCTACCAGCTGAGGGTACACATTCTATCAGCTGAGGGCAAGGGTTCTGTCAGCAGAGGCTATATGTTCTATCAGATGAGGGTAAAGGGTCTATCAGCAGAGGGTAAGGGTTCTACCAGCTGAGGGTACGTGTTCTACCAGCTAAGGGTAAGGGTTCTATTGGCAGAGGGTAAAGGTCCTATCAGCTGAGGGTACATGCTCTATCAGCAGAGGGTAAGGTTTCTATGAGCAGAGGGAAGGTGTTCTATCAGCCTTCTTAGACAGTGACTGTCAGAGCAAATGGATATGTTTTTGGTGAAAGGGTAAGAACTAGAAGCACAAGTTATAATCTAGCAGGAAGGATATCAGTCACTGTGAGTGACTACTTCAGAGCCCCACTGTCTGGACTCACACCCACCCTCACTCTGTAAGCCTGAGCAAGACACATAATGGGATTTTTAAAGACCTGTTGGCAAGAGAGCCCTTTGACGAACTGCAGTTGTGTGAACCCCCTATGTTTGCGGACTCTTGGGATGCGATGAGGTTTTGTTGTGGATGGGGTGGGGGTGGCGGTCTTTAGGCTGGAGTCAGCACATGGCCCTAGCCAGGGCTTGGTTCTGTGAGTGTGGGTGTGATGGTCCATCTCTCTATGCCTTAGTTCTTTTGTCTATAAACTGGGGGTTGAAATGGACATGACTTCACAGTTCATCGTTAAGAGGGTTACCAGAGTGAGAAATGGAAAACCCAAGAAATTGCAACTTGCCAATCATATCGAGTACAGGGAAGCCATTACTTCTCCACACACTGTTCACGCTCCACTGCTTTAGCAAAGGATCTTGTGTTTCAGGAAAATAAGACCATGGACAAACATCTCACACATACACAGTATCGGCAACAGCTCACACGTGTCAAACTAACCAGCGATTTTCCAGTTGAAAAATTCTGACCGAAGCCTGGCTGGGAGCCACGTGCTGACTCTAGTCTAAAGCCCCCCACAACCCCACCCATGATAATACCTCATCCACCCCACGAGTCCAGGAGACACAGGGGGTTCATGCCACTGCAGCTGTCTTGCCGAGAAGGTCTCTAAAGTTTCCAGTGTGTTTTCTGATCAGCACGGGTTTCCTTGGTGCTTTGACATCAGTTGAAATATTATAGATGAAGCACCTACTCGACTTCTAGACCAGGCACTGTCCTGGGTGCTTGCTTGAATTCTGAGTGGGGTCTGCTCTTCTAAAAAGGGGCTGGGACCGGGGACCCGAGTCGTTGGGAGGTGGAAAGAGTAAGGGACTTTCTTTCCCAGACCATGTGTGCCAAATTAGGGTTCACGATATTCTCAGTCCTGTTTTTGTGAAAGAAGGTTATAGAGAGTAGGCACATGTCCTCTGTGACACTGTGACTTAAAAAGTGCATTCCTCCTCCTCGAACCTGCTCGCATGTTGCTAAAGGCAAGTGGTGGACTGGAGCCTCCCTCCAAAGCAATCAGAGTCAGACCCTGCAGGCCGGGCTGGCCAGTGGTTCCACCTGTGGCTCTGTGGGTTAGGCATGTGTCAAAACCTCTCTGAGTCTCAGTTCTTTTCATTTGCAGCACATGCTCATAGATACCAGTGGCTGTTTTCTGTTCGTCCCTCTATATGCACCCTTGTTCCTTTATCCCGGGAGGCAACCTCAATGGTCTCATTGACCTTGTCCGCTGGTTCCCAGTGGTCTGGCAGGAGATAGAGAGCACAGGAAAGGAAAGGACGAGACACTGAGGGTGTCAGGCCATGGGGAGCTGGTCTCGTCTGCTTTTCTGCCTAGGATGACCAGGGTCCTTCCCCTATGGCCGCTGGCCTCTCTGGATTCTGGCACAGCTCCCTCCCCTTGTCCTTTCCCGCTGTTGCTGTTCCTAGCCCTGGAGTGCCTCACCACACCCCGTTTCCCTAAGCGCTGTCCACAACCTGCAATTACTCTGCCACTGAATTCTCCTCCACTGTCCATTTTGATTGTGCTGCTCCTGATGCACGTGGTATCTGCCTGGAAGGCCATGCCGATGAAGCCTCTCTGTGCACTTCAGGGCACACAGTAGGGCTCTGCAAATGTAGTCATGCCCCCTTGATTTAGACAGAGTCTGCCTTGACTCAGGGTCCAGGGTCAACCACACAAGCAGTGACACTCTAGGTTCATGAACAATGCAGGGGAAAGAATACAGGAGTCAGGGCACACGGGGTTTTTGCTCAGCACTTCACATTCCATTGGCACCTCCATTGCCCTCAAAGCTGAGTTAATCATATCTATTATACCTGCAAAAGGGGCAGTGGTGTTCAGAGAGAGGCTGAACATAAACAGGCTGCACAAAGCACTCTGCACAGGACGGCAGCTCACGTGGTGCTTTGAGCAGGCACAAGGGGGTGGATGGACGGGTGAATAGTGGGATGAAGGCGTCAACTCTGATACTATTATCTTCTTTTTAAGTTTACAATTGCGAACAGTAAACTTTGGGGTTTATGTCCAACGTATTAGTTTCTCAAAAAGCAGCTTTGCAGTCATGCACAAAACTAAATTCTGCAGAAATGTAAAGATTCAGTACAGGCCAGGCATGGTGGCTCACACCTGTAATTTCAGCACTTTGGAAAGCCAAGGTGGACAGATCACCTGAGGTCAGGAGTTTCACAGGAGTTCAAGACCAGCCTGGCTAACATGGAGAAACTCTGTCACTACTAAAAACACAACAATTAGCCAGGTGTGGTGGGGCATGCCTGTAATCCCAGCTACTTGAGAAGCTAAGGCACTAGAATTGCTTGAACCCTGGAGGCAGAAGTTGCAGTGAGCTAAGATCATACCACTGCACTCCAGCTTGGGTAACAGAGTGAGACTCTGGATTAAAAAAAAAAAAAAGATACAGTATATTCTGCAGAAAAACTCTTCCTTTAGAAAAATTCAGCCACTAATAATTGATGATCAGAATGAGAGCGATTTGCTCTTACCTTTTCACCTCGGTCACCTTTCAGTCCTGGAAGTCCCAGTTCACCTTTTTCTCCCTTTAAGAAAAGAAACAATTAGAACACATTAGAACCCAGGCTGAGCTGAATTCCTGCCTCTTCCGGGTAACAGCAACATGACTTTGGAAAAATATACATGTATGTATTTCTCTCTCTCACTTGGCCTTGCCTTATCAGCAAAGTGGCCATAGCGAAGTGTAACTCAGAGGGGAGACCTGCCAGTTAGGCTTGAAGCACCTCATTCTCCACTTGTCCCCTGACAGACGGTGCCTCCCACCCCTCAGCCCCATCGTCTCATCTGAAGATGCCCTTTCCAGACACATCCTCCAGCAATGGCCCTTCGTCTCAGCTCAGAAACCCAAGTAGCCTTCTTCCCTTTCCCATCCCTTCCATCAACACTGGGAAATACACTCTTCACCCTTCACCTAGTCAAAATGACCACTCCTCCGAAGGACAGAGATGCCACAGGGGGCTGCTTTCTGTGGGGATGGGCGAGATGCCTGTGTGGGAGGAGGGAAGCTGCCACACTTACCTGGTCTCCTTTCTCTCCTCTCACACCTGGGAAGCCTGGAGCTCCTGGGAGGCCTGCTTCTCCCTGTGAGAACAACATTTTCATGAGGGATAAATAGGAAGGCTCTCCTAGGGGCCAAACTGCAGGCCACGTGCTCTCAGTTCCTGCTCTCCAGGAACTGGAGATGTTCTGGCTTAGCGGGCATCACATGGAAAGCAATGCAGTGGAGAAAGAGGGGTTCGAGAGCATCTCATTCACTGGGGCATCCCCAAGCTCTTGTCTACTTCGGCTGTTTCCTTTCCCAGGAGCCCTCATGTTGCCTTTCTTGGTGTCTAACCCTTCCTGTTTCTTTAGGGCTCAGCAACAATGTCACCTTCTCACCATCCTTCCTGATAGTCCCCAAGTGTGCAAAGCAGACCTTGCCCCCAGCAGCTGCAGCCCACCACTCATGACACCTGCTCAATTGTTCTTTAATGCCCAGTTTATCCGGTACATATAGTGAGCTCCCAAAAACCAGGATTAATTCGTCTTGGCATCTGAATAATTTATACAAGACCTAGTGTATAACGATCAATCAATCAATCATTAAAAGTGTGAACGAACAGACCTTCTCTCCAGGTCGGCCTGCCAGGCCCTGCTCCCCAACTTCTCCCTGAAAATGCAATGGAACACACCCCATTATTCTCCATTTGCTTTAGAGAGACGGTCGCCATTCCCCTGCTGTCCGCACACCTTCACAGCACCCGCCAGCCAGGGCCCTTAATTCTCAAATACGCAGCATGGTGACAGGCCCAAGAGTCACGGGCTCTGAAGACCAAGGAGTTTAGCATTCTTGCAGAGCAGAATCCACTTTCTCATACTGACTTTTGCTTTCCCCAAAAGAAACAACTCTTAGAACTGTCCCTTTAGAATTTATTTTTTTTATTTTTAGTTTCAGTTTTTTAGAGACAGTGTCTCACTCTGTCACCCAGGCTGGAGTACAGTGGTGCAGTCATAGCTCACTGCAGCCTTGACCTCCTGGGCTCAAAAACTTATTCCACCTCAACCTTCTGAGTAGAAGGGCTACAGGCACACACCACCATGCACAGATGAATTTCTTTTTTGATGGAGTTTCGCTCTTTGTTGCCCAGGTTGGAGTGCAGTGGCGCAATCTCGGCTCACTGCAACCTCCGCCTCCCGGGTTCAAGGGATTCTCCTGTCTCAGCCTCAGTAGCTGGGATTACAGGTACCTGCCACCACATCTGGCTAATTTTTGTATTTTTAGTAGAGACGGGGTTTCGCCATGTTGGCCAGGCTTGTTTAAATGTCCTGACTTCAGGTGATCCACCCTCCTCGGCCTCCTGAAGTGTTGGGATTATAGGCATGAGCCACCATGTCCGGCCGCACAGATAATTTTTATTTTTTAAATTTCTGTCAAGGCAGGGTCTCACTACATCGCCCAGGTTTAGTCCCCTGGGGGAACTAAAACAGTTCCTAAGTAGCACTTTGTGGTCAGGGTGAAGTGGGGAACACAGGGTCAGAGGTGCTTTATCTCTGATCCAAGAGCATCAGTCAGGCTGCTCCACTTACCAAGTTCCACAAATCACTGATGCCAAGAGCTTCGTGATGCTGGTGGTGGTGAGCACGGACTATCATTTTTGTCCAGCCGTGTGTCTTTAACATAACTAGCTTCTTGAAGGACAATTTATTTCTAATGTTCACTATGCTATTTACTAAAACCTTTAGTGTAAATATTAATAAGGAAATGTGGTTTTGTCATGAATGCACGGACACACGACACAATGAATGAACAGGTGGTATGCAGACATATAAAGATTTTTTGTGTAGCTATGCCAGACTCAATTGGTGCTGAAGGCCAGAATTACCAACTTATCAGAGAGAAAGAAAAAAAAAGGAATCAAAAGCATTGCTTAGTGTAAGCATGCATTTTATCCTGTAACGCTGGTGTCACACATCTGGCGCCAGCAGATCTTAAAATTCTAGACACACTCCAATGCTCCCATCAATTTCCAATGTTTACAAGCACAATTAGTAAGAATTGCTCTAGCCAGAATTGTGCAAATACTCGTCACTCAAATTGTCGCTTTCAATCTGCTAGAATAGTAGCACATTTGCAGTGGGAGTTGCTTCTTACATGTTGAGAAAAGATAACGGGACGAGTTTGGTCAAAAAAAATTTGAAGCCATCTGAAATGCCCCCTGAATTTGTGTCATGAACCCCAATCCAAAGGCACAATGCAGGTGAAATGCCACCTTCCCGAATTCTCGAAGTGAGCCTCAAACATCGATGCCTCTGCTCATCCTTCACAGTTTTGCTCCCTAAGTGGACTCTTACAGATCTGCTCTCCATGACTTAGCATCAGCATGGAAAAGAACTTTTCTCTTCAGTTGACGCTTTGTCAAAATAAAGTAACAAGACGTCCAGTAGATCTCCTCTAGGACTATGAGTATGTTGGAAAAGCGCCATGACCGCAGGAATTCAGGTTTAAACTTATCAGAGAAATGTTTTGAGCACGAAGCCTTAGAAATTGAATAAAATTGACACATGCGATATAGCAGCAGGTTTCTCTGTTTGAATCTTTCGACCATTAGTGATTATCAGAAATATAAAACACATAGATTGAAAAGCTGGAGCAATCCCAGAGAGTCCCTCTAATTTCAGCCCAATAATTGTCATAATCAATCCCCTTCATCTGCAGAACCCTGCATAAGAAACTCGATGGAAATGGATGGTTTCATTACTGAACAGAAAGGTGAAGTTCATACAGCACAAACCCAAAAGGATTTGCCAATTCACAAATTTGAAAAAACACAACCGTAAGGTATGGTTGACTCCATGAAATCTGTGAAGTCAAGAACAGCAAACCTAGACAAACGCTTTCAAGTCTTTCTGGAAAACGATAGAATTTCAGCCCAAACACTGAAAGGTAGCCCGAATGCTTTTAAGACCATGTGATTCACCCCCTACACACACAACCACCTCAGGACATGCATGAAAGAAGAAAAAAAAGAAAAACCCAGTGAATTACATGTCATCACATTTCAATGACATGGGAATCAGTATAGACATATATTTAAATGCTAATATAGAATCTAAAAATATGAAGGGCTGTCGTGCCTGTTGGCGGCCACGGGAGGACTCATGGGTACACACTGGTACATTCATGGGGGGTGTGAGGACTGAGTTCTTAGGATCTGGAATCCGGGAAGTGGGAGGCTCACAGTGGCTCTTGGTAAGAGAGCCACTTGGCTCAAGGTGTCTTGCTTGAGACACCTTGGGTGCAATTTAATCTGTATTTTTTTCTGCTTGATTTTAATTTGGTCTTTTAAAAATGACCACTTTAAGAAAGAGTGAAACGATAGGGAACATAAGGGCCCGGGATGTGCCCACCAGCACCTTCACCTGCCAACAAAGGGATGCCCTGAGGTGTGCCCTCCCGCAGGGTCAGTGTCCCCCGCTATGTGGGGTCCAGGCCACTCCTGTGCTCTGGCTGGGCTGAAGTTGTTCACGCATTCTCCATCCAGCAAGCCTGCACTCCGTATCTAAGCAGGGTCTGCCTGTGGGCGGGGAGTGGGAGGTGCAGATGGCTAGGACCTGGTCACTGCACTTCAATAGTTCACACTTTAGTAAAGCGGGAGACCTCACTTAAAATAGAGATCACTTAGAATAGCAAGTGGAGGGCGGGAGGAGCAGAACCCCCACAATCTCCTGTCTGGCCACTGTCTCCTCAAAGCTGCAGGTTTTCATAGTGCACACACACAAACACACACATGCACACTCACACCACACATCATGGTCCAGCCCTCTCTTCCGTGTGCACAGCATTCTGAGCCCAGGCCAAATTTGAGATGTTGAACCAGGGACCATGAGGTAAAATATGATCCTGCAGCCCATCAGAAAAGTCTCACAGGGCAGCAGTCACTCCTGGAGGGAGCCTGGGCAAAGCGTGGCCATCAACACAGGGCACATGGGGGCTCTCCACTCACAAAGGGCACAGGGGGCTCTCCACTCGCAGAGGGCACAGGGGGCTCTCCACTCATAGAGGGTGCAGGGGGGCTCTCCACTCACAGAGGGCACAGGGGGCTCTCCACTCGCAGAGGGCACAGGAGGGCTCTCTGCTCACAAAGGGCACAGGGGGCTCTCCGCTCGCAAAGGGCGCAGGGGGGCTCTCCGCTCGCAGCGGGCGCAGTGGGGCTCTCCGCTCACAGAGGCTGCCCTGTCCAAGTCACATGCTGAGGAGCCTCCCTTTTCCTCTTATGCCCGTTTTTCACACTTCGCTACCCATGAGAAGCTGGTCCGAGAAGGCTGAACCGTACAGATTGCAGCTGCCAGCTTGCCTTGCCTTGTGACTTTCTGTAGGGTCAAGGTGTTAGGAAGCATTGCAGTGGAGGTAGAAGGCAGCTGAGAGAGATGGGGTTGGGGATCGATGCGGGGAGGGCATGGGCTAACAGTATATTTGTTCCTCTTGTTCCCTCCCTGCCAGGATAAACCAGACAGTGGTGATGTTCTTCTTCCCAAGGCCACGGCTCTCACGGGGGTGGGAGCTCTCTCCTCCTGCTGCAGATCTGGGCTCCCAGGAACCACTCCCTCCTTGGGCACCTTCTGTCCTAGAGGTGGTGTTCGTTCTGTGGTTGCCAGCCTCGTGTTGCCATCCTGGTTGGGGCCCTTAACCGTTCCACTTTTCAATGATCTGATTTGTCTCCCACAAGGTCCCAGCTGATACAGATGCTACGATAAGTCGAGACTTGCACACGGCCTCAAATAGACCACTTAGAATAGCAAACCTCAAATAGGCCACTTAGAATAGCAAGCATAACAGAAAAAGAGTCAAAGTCCATACCCGAGGGCCTGGTTTTCCAGGAAGACCATCTTCCCCTCTTTCTCCTGGTTCTCCCTGTGAAGAATACTCAGCAAAGTTAACAGGGGATGGGCCATGCTTAGATTAAACACACAAATACTAGGCACAGGTTGGTAAAGAAGAGAACTACCTGCACTCAGGTGGTTTTAAACGCCTTCAACTCTGCAATTACCTAACCACGGTCATCAAACCTAGTAGCTCATACAGCCTCCTAGATTCTATATTCAATAGCTGTAATTTTGATTTATAAAATATAATTGAGGAGATTTGGCACTCTTATTCAGAGATCTAGAAAAAGGAAGATGTTGCATACGTGTTTCTGAGAATAAAAAAAATCTTAGTCATGATCCTTTGTCTCAAAAGACCGGAAAGAAAAAAAAATGCACAACATTTACATTAAATGCCTAGAAAATTAAATTAAATCCATACTTAGTGTGGATTTGGCCATAAAGAAGCTGAGCTTCTAAGTCTGCTTATTGAAAAGGACAACAAAATTTCCCATAATATTCAACAGTTGCCTTTCAAGGACTGTTGAGGTGCATACCTGAGTCTATGTATGCTCACCATAAAAGAATAAAGTTCATTTGTTAAAATACTTGGATGGTTGTCTAATAATTCATTTAAAGTATTTAAACCTGTATTTGCTCTCTATTTGTATGCTATTTAACCTTGACGCTTACCTTAATCATTCTACCATAGCAAGCCCCACCAGAACATTGTTAAAATTGAAATCTCTTATTATGTTAGTAAGAGTATTTGGAAGTATTCCTCCTTGAAAATAAATAAATAATAAATGAAACATAGTTCTAACAGATCGATTTGTTTATTTATTTATTTTTTTGAGACACCATCTCACTCAGTTGCCTAGGCTATAGTGCAATGGCACAATCATAGCTCACTGCAGCCTTGAATTCCTGGGCTCAAGCAATCCTCCCACCTTGGCCTCCCAAGTGAATGGGAACACAGATGCCCACTCCCATACCAGGCTAATTCCTGCCTACGCCTCCCGAAATGCTGGGATTACATCTGTGAGACACTGTGCCTGGCTAAATTTTAAAGCCCAGGGCTTCCAAATCCTTCCGCAGTTATCTGAGAAGGAATAAGGAGCTACCCCCCCATGTGACCTCACAAATCCAAACATTTCAGCTGAGTCCTGATTTAAAACCCAGGCAACCAACTTGTCTTAGAATTCACCAACAATCAAGAATCTCTTTTGTTTCCTGTGTTTTGGGTTCCCAAACTGCTGCCAACCCCGTCAGTAACCAACCTTGGTTCCTGGAAGGCCTGGTGGTCCATTTAGCCCATCCTTTCCAGGAGGTCCCTAAGGCAAGCGGGGAAAACACAGAATAAGAAGGAAAGGCATGTTTAGGGAAGGCTTACGTTAAGTTGTTTCAAACCAGGAGCTGTTTTTACAGCCAGGATCCAGGAGGCTCAGCCCTCTACTCTCTGATCAGCGGGGCCCTGTCTCCAGGGCGACTGTGGTCTCTGTCTGACCACGTTTCCCTCTGTTACTACTGAAGCAAATATCACCCTCTGGGCAATGTCTGATTTTCAGTACGCTGGCCATGCGTGGAGGGTGGGGTGCGGGAGGATGTCTGCCACATCTCGCTCTGGTGGTTCCACCTCTGCCCTCAGCTTCCAAGAGGCCCTGGGGACCACGGTATCCACACTGCTCCTACTCTCTCCTCTCCAGAATCTCTTTTCCATCTTGTCGCTTCCTTCCCCCTGCTATCATCTCTTCCTCTTGTCCCTCAAAAAAGCACAACTGCAACCTATCGGCATGGCTTGGCATTACGGCCTGTTATTTCGAATGCCAGCACTTAGGAGCTCCATGTTATATTTTCGGACGTCAGGTGTCTTCTCTACCACCATCCTCAGGCTGTGGCAGCGCAGGTGTTACTGCAGCTGGTTGCAGTGAGGAGATGAAGGCTCTGCAGGCTGAGTGACTCATTCAAGCTCACAGGGCTGGTGACGGGGACCCCCACGGTTTAACTGGCTCTGCCTCAGGGCTCCCTCCACTATACCAGAGACACTGTATCTCCTCCTTTTCCTCTGTGCCTTAAATGATGAGTCTGGCCACATGGGGCAGGGGGGCCGACAACACATCCTGGGGCCTGTCGGTTTTGGGGAGGCATTGTGTGGGGTTAAGGGGCACATCAAGAAGAATAGCTAATGCGTGTTGGGCTTAATACCTAGGTGATGGGTTGATCTATGCAGAAAACCACGTGGCACAGGTTTACCTATGTAACAAGCTACACATCTGGCACATGTACCATGGAACTTAAAAGTTAAAGGGAAAAAAAAAAAATGATGTGTCAGGCACACACACCCTTTCCCATGACGGACATTAGGGAAAACATTTCCCCAGTGGAATAGCTCCTGGGCTATTGCTTTCACAGCTATTCACAAGTGAATGTTTTTTTATAACCCTGGTGATTCTTCCACCCACAGAACCTGCTGCCACCCAGTTTGACTCATCTCTCCCTATGCCCCCAGCTTGGACTGGTGACTAGTGAAAAGACGCTCCCATGTGCACAGAGCAGGTGTCCTGGAAGACAAGGCTTTCGGAAGGCAGGAGGGAGGCTTTTGGAGGCCTTAAGGCTGCCTGTGTCAATGAAAGCAGGATCTTGACCGGGAGCAAATGCCAAGGCCAGAAGCTGTGCTTCAAACCTTCTGTGGCTACAGCCACATCTTGGCAGACTAGAAATGCTCACACTGCCTTTCTTCCTCTTCTGCCATCTCCCCTTCTCTGAATGTTTACACTGATCTGCATGCTTTCTGATGAGCCCTTCAGATCGGATGAGATTGCTCATGTGTTTGAGCTTTCTGAGGATCCTGTCACTCATGTAAAATGTTTATTGTGGTGTTGCAGTTGACTGTTTAGAAATGTTTGACGGTGATGGTGCTGTTCACGCAGTGTTCCTTCCACAGGTGATCGGTTCACCTGAGTGCCCAGTGCAGCACTGAATTCACTTCCAATGCCCTTTGGCATTCTTCACTGGAACGAAACAGAGCTGGGGGTGCTGGTGCTGCAGCGAGCATAGGTCCCCTGGGCTCCTGGATCCACACTCACCCATGGGTCTGTGATCTGTGGAGAAGTGGGGAGAACTGGCCTATGTGTGACCCAATCCACTTGACCTCCGCCTCACCCCTCCTCCAGCATCAGGATCCTCCTAGCTGGGGCCTTCCCCGTCGGGGCTCACTGATGGAGAACGAGCTGTAAGAAAATCCCTTTAAGGTGGACCAGAGGCCTCCCTGTGGGCAGATCATGAGAACTACCCAGGTCTCAGCCCATGCTATCCATCATCCTGTCGTGAAGAGCTGCAAGCCAACTTTAACTACTGTGACTCTCCTATCTATCTAGGGAGACATTCATGTTTTCTTTCTCTCTCTCTCTTTCTTTCTTTCTTTCCTTCCCTCTCTTCTCTTTTCTTCTTTTCTTTTCTCAGTGTTTCACTCTTGTTGCCCAGGCTGGAGTGCAATGGTGCAATCTTGGCTCACAGCAACCTCTGCCCTCCGGGTTCAAGCAATTCTCCTGCCTCAGCCTCCCAAGTAGCTGCCATTACAGGCACATGCCACCATGCCTAGCTAATTTTTGTATTTTTAGTAGAGATGGGGTTTCTCCATGTTGGTCAGTCTGGTCTCAAACTTCCGACCTCAGGTGATTTGCCTGTCTCAGCCTCCCAAAGTACTGGGATTAAAGGCGTGAGCCATGGCAGCTGGCAACGTTAATGTTTTCTAAGCTCCATCTGCCCCCTGAGAGCCCCAGGGTCTCTCAGTTTGCAAGGGAGAAAACATGATCAGGATCATATGGAAAAGGCTGCCCCAAAGCTCCCCACCCATTGCTTCTGTTCTCCTCTGGGTATTTCTCAAGGACGAGTGGTCATGCCTTCAGCAGCAAAAGACTCTTGAATGTGTCTTTTGGTGAAAAGAGAAAAGGCAGTGGCCTGGGGAGAGTGGCCCGAATCCACACCCTGGCCAGGGCACATAGGGAGCGTTCCCAGCAGATGGGGCACTAGCATGGGGGAGCCGCCACAGAAGGAAGATCCAGGCTGAGTGCCGGAGCTGCAGGCCTTGCTGGCCAACGAGTCCTCAGCTCTAGGAAAGTGGTCCTAGCCAGCTGCAAGGGCTCAGTACTGCCCCCAGAGCAATGGGGAGAGGGAAGAGGGGGGCAGGAAGAGGTTCCCAGACACTCACCGCGGGCCCAGGAGGCCCAGTCTTTCCCGGGAAGCCGATCTCTCCAGGCAGACCCTGAAAGGGGACCACAGGGACACCGTTAGCCTGACCTGTTCGGAGATCAGATCAATGACTCAACCTCTTTCCTGGCACGGGCCCAGGCCTCCAGGTCTAAGGTGGGAACCCCGGAGCCACCGTTGTCCTTGGTCATCCGCTGTGAAATACGGAGTGCGTCTGCAGTTAACATGTCCAAGGCTTATGTGGTCTGCAGTCTAGACCTCTTCCTATCCACTGCCACCCTCTGCTGATGGCGGGGCCTGCCCCACGCGGTGGGTGGTTGGATTCTCCCCCTCCCCCATGTCCACTTTCAGGATACTTTTTTCAGCAGCCCCTGAAAGATGGGAGGGGAAACATTGGCAAATGCTTGCCTGGGTCCTGTTTTGCCTCAAAGCCAAATCGCCAGCGACGAAAAGACACCCGAATGGGCAATTGGTGGCTAACATGCCAGGCTCTGGAGGCGGCCACCAAAGTGCCACATGAGCTCCAGTGGTGCTCTAACCCAAGGCTTCTGAAGATCTGAGAGTCCAGAGCCTGGGGGGCCTATGTGTCGGGGTCCTCCTGTGTGTGTTTTTGTACTGGACTTGGGCAGATAAAAGACAAGAGGCCATTCACAAAATGTCCCCAGTTCCCACAGGTCAGGAAGCCACCAACTAAGTGTGCTTGTAGAAAATCAAAGCCAGTCTTACCGGAGAACCTCCCGGTCCCGGAGGGCCTGGGACACCAGGTGGTCCTGGAGGGCCCTGTGGAGAAAGAGCATCGGGTGGGTTACAGATGGGCACAGACCAGCCTCCTAAGGACACTGGGCATTTGACAGAGGCAAAGGGAAGGGGACAGGAGGATGAGGTGGGATTTTACTTTATTTGTAATGCCTGATTTTTCAAACAAAAATAGGCAAAAACAAAAAGAAAAGACTTGAACAAAACTTTGCAAAATGCTAACATTTCATATGTGGGTGATGGCTGTTCCATTGTCTGTAATATTATCTATTCTGCTATATACATAAATGTTTGAGCATTTAATATAAATAGACATGTGTGTGCACATGTGCAGACACACACATACACAAAGGCCTTCCAGAAGAACGCTTCCTAATCATGAGTCATGAAGCAGAGCTGGCACCAGGGTCAGAATCGCCAGGGGTGAATGAGGAGACCTCACGCCCAGACCTTCTGGTTCTGCAGGTTTGGGGCGAGTGGGTCTCCCATCTGTACTTGTGAAGGTTCTCTCGTGATTCTACAGGGATCAGTCCTCACAGCCACTTGCCAGATGTAGATTCATATGTTATTTAGATCATTCGTGGCCTACACTTAAACTTGTAGGCATCTTCAAGGGCCAGGAACAGAAGCGGGTACCGTTAGCAAACAGAAACATTAAGACCCGTTTCCAGGCTCCTGTCTTGGTTGAGGGGGAGGGTGGGGGAGGGGAAAAACATGTAGACAAATAATTATGGTAGAAAAGAGCCAGGCATGATGGCTCACAACTGTAATCCCAGCACTTTGGAAGGCTGAGGCAGGAGGATTGATAGAGGCCAGGAGTTTGAGACTAGACTGGGTAAAATGGCAAGACCCTATCTCTCCAGAAATAAAAAATAAAAATTAATTGGGCATAGGGGCTCTCGCCTGTAGTCCCAGCTACTCAGGAGGCCGAGGCAGGAGGGCTGTTTGAGACTGGAAGTTTGGGGCTGCAGTGAGCATTGCACTCTGGCCTGGGTGCAGAGAAACACCCTGTCTAAAAAAAAAAAAAAACAAACAAACAAATCCTTCGGACTTAAAAGGCTCAAATAAACACATTGGCTCTGTAGGGAGATACCTTTGTCTCCTCCTTTAGAAAAAAAAAAAAAAAAAAAAAAAAAAAAACACCAAAAAACAAATGAAAAGACTAATGGTCCAACTAAACTTATGAGCACAGATCCAGGTCCAGGGGTGGTGGGATACCAGGTGGTCGTTGTACCTGGGAGGGAGGATGGCAAGCGGGCAGAGAAGGTGCCTGAGTCCCGAAGAAAGCCAGGGAAATAAACAGCAGGTCAGGCCGACAAAGCAGGTGGGCTGCGTTCATAACAGCCCGCTGCTGTTCAAGGTATTGCATTTTGAATGACAGCCAACAGTGCCACATGAAGACAGTGTGGGCCTGCGCAGGGCAGACGGAGGCTGAGCCAGGACCTCAGAGGTGATGGGCTGTCAGGGTGAGGAGGAGCAACATTGCCGTGAAGGTCTTGGAAGTAACTGAAGGAGCACGAGAAAATGGGTGTGGTCACACGCGTGCCCAGGAAAGCAGCCTGCGGTCTGGGGAGACCGGAGGGAGGAAGAGTGGACATTGTGTTATAAGCAGGGGCAAGCTGGAATCATACAACCCCAGGTCCCGGAAGGGAGTGTGGATGTGGTTCTGCGTATATGCAGGTTCCTGACAGCCTCACACAGGGACGCCCTCATTTTACAACAGCCAGCGACCCCACAGCTGAGCCACCTTAGAATCAGTGGCTCTGATAGAGGGTGAGTTCCCCACGCCCTCCTCCCTCAGCTCCAGCACCACCGATCACTGCTCCACACAACTTCTGGGAGGTACAGATGACTTTTCTAGCTCAGGTTTCCCTCTGGATACTCCCTCCCCACCTCCCACACCTCCCTGCTGAGCCCTCTCCACCTTTCTGAGACGGTCTCCAAATTCCCCAGGGGAATTAATCTCTCCCTGCTTCATGCTCAAGACCAACTTAACTGTGCTGATCTGACCCACAGACCCTCGAGGACAGGCCCCTCTTGTTCCCTCTGCACTTCACACAGTGATTATCCCAGGGTGTGGCATCCAGCAGGCGCTCAGTAAATGCTTGGGCAAGTCTCCAAGACACTAGGTTTGCGTTCAGAAAGAACAACACGGCATGGCCACTAGAGGGCGAGAAACACCAAAAAATGGCCGCGGTGGCCACATCGGTGAACTGTTCCCCTTTCTCCCTCTGGGGGCACCCGTGAGTCAAAAAGCAGGCGTAGACGGGACCATTTACTGAACAGGACCTGGGGACACCTGGACCTACTTTTCTCAGCAGCTCGCTCAGTGCTGTCAAGTCTTGGGGGGTAGCATCTTCCCTCATCGAAGACATTGGTTCACAGCTGGAGCAACGGAGGGGCAGGCAGGGCTGCCGGGTGCCCTGGGCAGGTTCCAGCCTGGGTGCTCCCTAATGGACAAGGGCCGCTGGAAAGCCTTAAAGAAGCCTCCGGGCCCCGCTCTATTTTCGGCTAGCCTTACTACCTCCACAGGCTGCTCCATCCTGCAGTGACACTCAGAGCTCCCACACACTCCAAAGGCACATGCCAGGTAATCTTTTTTTTGAGATAGGGTCTTGCTCTGTTGCCCAGGCTGGAGTGCAGTGGGGTCATCATGGCTCACTGCAGCCTCTAATTCCTGGGCTCAAGTGATCCTCCTGCCTCAGCCTCTTGAATAGCTGGGACTACAGGCACCTGCTACCATGCTTGTCTAATTTTATATTTTGTAGAGACAGGGTCTTGCTCTATTGCACAGAACTCCTGGGCTCAAGCAATCCTCTGTGTCAGCCCCCCCCAAAGTGCTGGGGTTACAGGGGTGACAGGTGATCTATTTTTACCTCAACATGGTCTTTGAGGGCCACACAGCACCCCAAGCCCATAGAGTATATCAGAGGGCCCTTCCCAACCACACAGGAGTCTCTTTGTTTGCAGTTTGAATGAGCAATTCTGTTCTCTTCCCTCCTTAAATTTCCAAGGATGCCGATGGTCTCTGGAGTGCTCTGTGCTTTTTCAAAATGGTGAGCCCGGGAAGGCGGCCCCTGACCAGCCCTTTGCTCTGGCCCTGCTTGCTTTCCTCCTCTGCCCCTTGCAAACACCCTTGCCCTGCTGCTAGTTTTGGAGTCTCACAGCATGTTAGAGGTGATGGCTCTTTAGTAGTCACCTAGTGGAAATTAAACCTCCTTGTATGACAATGAAGAGAACTGAGGCCTAGAGAGGGTGAGGACCCTCTTGAAATCACACAGCCATCAACTCTGGCTGCTGCAGACACACCTGGAGAACCTGCCACACATGCAAGTACACAAAAACGTTGTTTAGATTCAGAGACAGCAGGTCGGGGACAGACTCCAAAGGTAACTTTTGAGACACCAAATAATTCTGATGAGCTGCCAGGTTTGGGTATGACTGGTCTATGCCAGCTCCATACTCTACCATCACCACCCCAGCACTACTGATGAGCCTATGAGCAGAACAGCCCAGGAAGAAACAGCCCAGGAGGGAGAAGAAACCAGACAGGCAGGACAAGGGGCTCAGCCACCTCCATTCAGCGTTTGCTTCACCTGTGCTTCATACACTGGCTCATTCTAGCCCTCCCACTGGTCATGGGAGGCTGGGCTTTTTCATATCACTTTACAGAGGAGGAAGATGAAGTGATATTAGATAAGGCTCATATGTGGCTACAGCACTCTGATCCCTTCCCTCCTCCCAAGCGCAGCACCCCAGGCTTGCAAACTGTCTGCACGGTCCCCACTCGGGGGCATGGGTCTCACCCACCTGTTACAGCCCCTTTCCTCCCTTTAACACAATGTGATCTCCTAAAAGACTCTTTGCATGCTAAGGGGGACTAGAACTTAGGGCTTGAAATGTGGGTTTGAAGATCTTAAAGCCTATCTCCTTGGTAAGACCACAGCACCTGGTTTCATGCTATGCATACAGTAGAGACTGAATAACTGTCTGCTTTTTGATGCTGTATGCTTAGGAATGAGAGCGAAATCCTACCCAGTCATTAAACCTAGCCACTGCGGTAGCCACTTACAGAGAGAGAATCTGGAAGCAGCTGGAAGCAGCAACTGTCAGAGTCTGGAAACCTATTCCAAGAGGGATCACAAAAAGGGTGAGGTGATCTGCTTCCAGCCCTTTTTCCAGTTTACAGGGGACTTGCGCACAAGTCCAGGTGGGAAACGCTGGGTGCAGTCACAAGAGGAAACAGCCCTCGGGATGCAGCTGCAGCCAGGCTGCCCTTGGGCCCTGCCCTCTTGGCCATGCTCTGCCTTCCAATGGCCACAGACAGCCACACAGTGGTGGCAGAAACTCTAAACAGAGTAGCTGCCTTGCCCTGGGGGTTACAGTCACCCTTGTCCTGATTACCAGAAAGGTCCACTTTGTTTATGACACAGCTTCAAGCCAGCCGTGGGGAGGGCTGGTGGAGGAGGCAGGGTGGGCAGGACCATGGACTCAAGGGCCTTTCAGACCACAGCTGGGATAGCTATTTCTTTTTTTTTTATTCAATTTTTTATAAATTGCATTTTAGGCTTTGGGGTACATGTGAAGAACATGCAAGATTGTTACATAGGTACACACATGGCAGTGTGATTTGCTGCCTTCCTCTCCATCACCTATATCTGGCATTTCTCCCCATGCTGTCTCTCCCCAACTCCCCATCTCCCGCTGTCCCAATGAGAACACATGGACACAGGGAGGGGAGCATCACACACTGGGATAGCTATTTCTACTTTACCACTCCCTCAAAGGGAAGGGAGGAAACTTAACTTCCTAAAGCACGGACTATTGCCCTGGCATCCTACAAGGACTTTGTCCATATCACTGCGAGGCACCTGCCCATGCACCAGTCCCTGCACTCAGGGTCTGGGAAGATTCACACCTCGGATGGGAGATTTGAGTGTCAATATGTGACAAGATGTGGGTGGTGGCTTTAAAGGAGAGGGGCAGTGCGCAGGCATAGCTTTGGGCCTTAAAGCCAGGGACCT